AGAGCTTATCACCCAATGATCGGATGAATGTGGGGACCCCTGAATTAAAAACTTTCTGCCAACGGGTTTCCATTGTGAAGAAAAAATCTACAGCCAATGAAAATCAAGCGATTGACTCTCTGGAAGCACCATCAGAAGCCAAACCCAAAGTCTACTCAAGTTTTACCAGAGTACAGGACCTGCAGCTGCCCAGACTAAACGATCAAGAGGTGGAGCAAGCCCAGCGAGCTGATCCATGGATGAAGGACGTTCTTTACACATTTGAAAGGGGAAAGGACCCCAAGCCTATCCGACCATATCACCCAGAGGAGGCCCTTTTGCTAAAGGAATGGGACCATCTATGGGTACGGGATGGATGACTTTATCGAGGGCAGAAGCATCCCCAGAGGCCTCACCCAGAGCAGTTGGTGCTATTGCAGAAATACCGGCGAGGCATGTTGAAGGCCCTGTCACGATCGAATGGGGCATCTGGGAGTAAAGCAGTTGGAGGCTCTAGATTCATAGAATATCAGGGTTGGAAGGGACCTCAGGAGGTATCTAGTCCAACCCCCTGCTCAAAGCAGGACCAATTCCCAACTAAATCATCCCAGCCAGGGCTTTGTCAAGCCGGGCCTTAAAAACCTCTAAGGAAGGAGATTCCACTATCTCCCTAGATAACCCATTCCAGCGCTTCACCACCCTCCCAGTGAAATAGTGTTTCCTAATATCCAACCTAAGCCTCCCCAACTGCAACTTGAGACCATTACTCCTTGTTCTCTCATCAGGTACCACTGAGAACAGTCTAGATCCATCCTCTTTGGAACCCCCTTTCAGGTAGTTGAAAGCAGCTATCAAATCCCCCCTCATTCTTCTCTTCTGGAGACTAAACAATCCCAGTTCCCTCAGCCTCTCCTCATAAGTCATGTGCTCCAGACCACTAATCATTTTTGTTGCCCTCCGCTGGACTCTTTCCAATTTTTCCACATCCTTCTTGAAATGTGGGGCCCAAAACTGGACACAGTACTCCAGATGAGGCCTCACCAAAGTCAAATAGAGGGGAATGATCACGTTCCTCGATCTGCTGGCAATGCCCCTACTTATACAGCCCAAAATGCCGTTAGCCTTCTTGGCAACAAGAGCACACTGCTGACTCATATCCAGCTTCTCGTCCACTGTAACCCCTAGGTCCTTTTCTCCAGAACTGCTACCTAGCCATTCGGTCCCTAGTCTGTAGCAGTGCATGGGATTCTTCCTTCCTAAGTGCAGGACTCTGCACTTGTCCTTGTTGAACCTCATCAGGTTTCTTTTGGCCCAATCCTCCAATTTGTCTAGGTCCCTCTGTATCCGATCCCTACCCTCTAGTGTATCTACCACACCTCCTAGTTTAGTGTCATCTGCGAATTTGCTGAGGGTGCAGTCCACACCATCCTCCAGATCATTAATGAAGATATTAAACAAAACCGGCCCCAGGACCGACCCTTGGGGCACTCCGCTTGAAACCGGCTGCCAACTAGACATGAAGCCATTGATCACTACTCGTTGAGCCCGACGATCTAGGCAGCTTTCTATCCACCTTACAGTCCATTCATCCAGCCCATACTTCTTTAACTTGCTGGCAAGAATACTGTGGGAGACCGTATCAAAAGCTTTGCTAAAGTGAAGGAATAACACGTCCACTGCTTTCCCCTCATCCACAGAGCCAGTTATCTCCTCATAGAGGCAATTAGGTTAGTCAGGCATGACTTGTCCTTGGTGAATCCATGCTGACTGTTCCTGATCACTTTCCTCTCATTTAAGTCCTGCCCTTGCCCTGGCTGGCTCCAGACTGACTCAAAAAATGGTTTCTCCCCTCTCCTGAGCTCCCGGGCAAGGGCATCTCACTCCCTATTGGTTGCCGGGCAGACTCTGAGTCTGCCTTGGCTCCCCCTCCCTACCAGGGACAGTGCGCCTCTGGGCTAGGTGATGCAGCTGAACCTCTGCTGCTAATGGCCCGTCTCAGCTGGTGGTGCCGGGGTTTGGCTCGGTGCATCGGCCCCGAGGAGGCGTGGGCACAGGAGTGCAGCAAGGCGTGCTCTGTGTGGGGACTAGGGACCTGTCTCCCTCCCCTGGAGCTGCTTTGCTGGGCTTCGCAGGACAGCTGAGCTTTGGGGCTCTGAATCATTCATGGGCCATCCTGAATCTCCCCCCGCCTCCGCGGCTGGCCACTGTCTGTCCACACCTCCAGCCAAGCTGCCGCTGTCCCTTCTGCCCCCCACTGCTCTGTCCCCCCCTTTCCTCTGCTCTGTCCCCGCACCACAGGGCTCCCTTAGGGCTCCCATCGCCTCTCTCCCCTGCCCCTGCCCCTGCCCCGCGAGCCAGTGCCGGGCTGAGGCCGCAGAGCCTGGCACCTCTCCTCTGGCATGGAGGCCACTGGCCCCGTTGCTCTCTCCGGGTCTTCAGGGCCTCGGGGTCTGTCTATGGCTCTGGACCAGGGTCGGCAACCTACGGCACCCGTGCCAAAGGTGGCACGCGAGCCAATTTTTGATGGCACATGGTGACGAGCTGAACAGCTCAGCCCGCCGCCGTTCTGGGGTTTCCGCCGCCGGCTCCTGCCATCCGGGGTCCCACCGCCGGTCCCACTCAGCGCCCGCTGCTGGCCTGAGTGAAGGAACCCCAGGTGGCAGCGGGCTGAGACCCCGGCTGGCAGGAGCCAGCGGCCGAAACCCCAGAGCGGTGGCGGGCTGAACTACTCAGTCGCTGCTCTGGGGTTCCCACTGCTGGCCCCTTGCCAGCCGGGGTCCCCGCCGCAGCCCCACTCACCCTGCTTCCGGCTGGAGTTCCAGCGCAGGCCCCCTGCCAGACAGGGTCCAGGCCTCCGGCCCTGCTCGGCCCTGCCAGCCGCCAGCTCCACTCACCTCAGCTGCCGAGCTGGGGTTCCAGCCGCTGACCTCCTGCCAGCCGGTTAACAACTGATCACTCAGAAGCCTGTGTGCAGCTTAAAGTATCCAAATCCGGGCCAGACATCGGAAAACTCAGCAAGGAAAAGCAAGGGCAAGGCTCACACTAAACTGATACGAGCTGCATTTTAATTTAATTTTAAATAAAGCTTCTGAAACATTTTGAAAACCTTGTTTACTTTACATATAACAGTAGTTCGGTTATATAATATATAGACTTATAGAGAGACCTTCTAAAAACGTTAACATGCATGTCTGGCCCGCGAAGCCTTAACTCAGAGTGAATAACTGAAGACTCGGCACAGCACTGCTGAAAGGCTGCCGACCCCTGGTCTGGACATTTACATCTGGCAGGGGTCCCAGCATTGCTGGTCACATGTCCCTTTCCCTTTCCCTTTCCTTTTCACTTTCCCTTTCACTTTCACCCCCTTCCCAAAGCCTGTGCTTGTTTCTGAGAAATCAGCTACTAAGGGGAAAAGGAAACAAACAAAAGATGAAAATGACAATCCCACTGATGAGCTGTTCACTCCCAGGACACAGCTCAGAGGGCCCCTATCAGCTGTGGGGCCAGAGCTCACCAGAGAGAGGCACAGCTGACACCTGCAGTCACCTTCCACTCCAGAGATGATAAAGAAGATCAGCTTCCCGGTGGCTCTGGGGCTGGCATTCCTGGGGGCTTTATCAGGGCAGAAGGTTTGTCTGGATGAGGGGCCGGGGGGGGGCTGGGCGCTGGCTCTGGGGTGTCTCAGGCCGGGGCACGGTGAGGGGCCGGGGGGGCTGGGTGCTCGCTCTGGGGTGTCTCAGGCCGGGGCACGGGGAGGGGCCGGGGGGGCCGGGGGCGCGGTGCTGCTCATCTGCT